TCGATATGATGGAGGTCGGAAAGACCGTTGTCTGGTGATGGAGGTTGGAAGGACCATAGTAGGCGACGGAGGACGGGAGGACCATAGTCGATAGGAGACCGGGGTCTGAGTGACCATTTTCTGGTGATGGAGGTCTGAGTAGCCATAGTAGGTGAGGGAGGTCGGGAGGACCGTAGTCGGCAGGAGATCGGGGTCTGAAAGAGCGTTGTCTAGTGATGGAGGTCGGAGTGACCATAGCAGGCGACGGAGGTCGGGAGGACCGTAGTCGGCAAGAGACCAGGGTCTGAAAGACCATTGTCTGGTGATGGAGGTCGGAGTGACCATAGTAGGCGACGGAGGTCGGGAGGACTGTAGTTGGCAGGAGACCGAGGTCTGAAAGACCGTTGTCTGTTGATAGAGGTCAAAATGACCATAGTAGGCGACGGAGGTCGGGAGGACCGTAGTCGGTAAGAGACTGGAGTCTGAAAGACCGTTGTCTGTTGATGGAGGTCGGAAGGACCATAGTAGGCGACAGAGGTCGGGAGGACCGTAGTTGGCAGGAGACCGGGGTCTGAGTGACCGTTGTTTGGTGATGGAGGTCGGAGTGGCCATAGTAGGCGACGGAGGTCAGGAGGACCGTAGTCGCCAGGAGACCGGGGTCTGAAAGACTGTTGTCTGGTGATTGAGGTCGGAGTGACCATAATAGGCGACAGAGGTCAGGAGGACCGTAGTAAGCAGGAGACTGGGGTCTGAATGACCGTTGTCACCACTTGGAGGTCGAAGTGACCATAGTAGGCGACGGAGGTCGGAGTGACCATAGTGGACGATGGAGGTCGGGAGAATCGTAGTCGGCAGGAGATCGAGGTCTGAAAGTCCGTTATATGTTGATGGAGGTCGGAATGACCATAGTAGGCGACGGAGGTCTGGAGGACCGTAGTCGGCAGGAAACCGGGGTCTGAAAGACCGTTGTCTGTTGATGGAGGTCGGAATGACCATAGTAGGTGATAGAAGTCGGGAGGACCGTAGTCGGCAGGAGACCGGGGTCTGAAAGATTGTTGTCTGTTGATGGAGGTCAGAATGACCATAGTAGGCGACGGAGGTCAGGAGGACCGCAGTAGACAGGAGACCGAGGTCTGAAAGACCGTTGTAGTAGGGCGATACTCTGGTAGAACTCTAAGCGTCAGGTAGTGGCCCAGTAGAAGTCCGGGCCTCAGGTGGTGTCCTGGTTGAGCACAGGGTCTCAAGTGGTTGTTCAGCGGAGCAACAATGTCAGGCGGTGGTCTGACGGAGGTGAGGGCCTTTGGCGGTGGTCCGAAGAAGGTGAGGGCCTCTGGTGAAGGTGAGGGCCTCATGTGTTGGTGAGGGCCTTTGGCAAAGGTGAGGGCCTTTGGTGAAGGTGAGGGCCTCAGGTGTTGGTGAGGGCCTCATGTGTTGGTGAGGGCCTTTGGCGAATGTGGTGGTCCAGCGAAGTTCCGGCGAAGGTGAGGGCCTCATGTGGTGGTCCGGCGAAGCTCCGGCGGTGGTCCAGTGAGGCTCAGCTGTTGTCCAGTGATGCTCCTGCGGTGGTCCGGTGACGTTCCGGCGGTGGTCGAGGAGGAGCTTCTTCCTTCTCTCCTTCTCTTCTTCCTTCTCTTCTCCTCTTCTCTTCTTGCTTGGGGTCGTCTTTCAAGAGAAATGAGGGGTCTATTTATAGATTTTCTTGAGTAGCATGCCCCGTAAATAGGTGAGAGATCAAGGGTAAATGAAGAGTGGTTGGATGGACGGACGATATTGAACCCCTTGATCATGGACCGTTCATCAGGCATTTGGAGGCCTTAGTGATTTCAGAATTCGGTGATCTTGGGCTCGTTGGATTTTTCTTGTCGAGCCGTTCGATTCGAGTATAAGCTCGTTAAAATCAGAGACCGTTTGGTAACTAAATTTATGATTCAAACCTTCCAACAGCACTTCGATTTAGACTCATTTGGGCTCGGATCGAGTTAAATTTTGTGTCATTGGGTTCGTATTTCGGAGACGCTCAGTTTGACTATAAGTTCACTGAAATCGGAGTTCAGGAGCTCCCAGATTTAATTTTTGAAGTTTTCGACTCCATTTTACATCGAGATTCGTGCGCAATCAAGATAATTTTTTGACGATGTATCAAAAATTATAAATATAATTAAATATTTTAATATAAAAGTATTTCATTTGATAACATACAAATTTTTTAGAGGTGAAAAACTGAAACTTTGCAAATTTTTTAGCATAAGAATATTTCATTTGAAAATAATTAAATTTTATTAAATAAAAAAAATTTCCCAAAAGTATTCAAATTATAAAAATTAATTGTTTATATTATAAATTATATAATATAATATTTACTCGAGTGGCTTGACAAGCAAAAAAAAATCCACATAAACTTTCTAACATATATAATAAAAAAATAAATAGATAAAAATTAAATATTATCAACTAAAAAATAAATCTTATTCATATTATAAAAATTAATTAAGAAAATCTATAAAAATATTTTATATAGTGTATATACTAAACTAATGATGGTTTTTTATTTTGTATGGTTTAATCCAACATCACTTGTGAAATTTTACTTTGTATTTTAAAAAATTGAGATAAGTTCGCCGGTTTAGTAGTTGAACCTGCAATTTTTGCCCAAATCGGTCGGTTTGAAGCAACACCGGTTTTGAGGTTGAACTGAATCGGCCTTCAGACTAGTTCACGATTGACTGGTCAGACCAGGCAGTCCGATTTTCAAAGTCCTAAGTAAATGTTTTTTTTTTTTTTTTTTTTTGAAGAAATGCAAAAGTTGCATTAAAAAGAAAGAAATAACAACCTAATACAAACTAGAAAGTAGAAACTAAAAGATCCTTGATCAAGAGAAAAAGTATCCTTATTGAAAGCATATTTGTTTAAATTAAACTTATTATTTTTGAAATGAAACCCACTGTTTCTTATTTTAAAACCGTTGAGATGGAGGGGATACCAAAATATTAAACAACCCAAGGGTTGGTTAGTATCCCAGAGTTCCCATCCGGTTAAAAAATAGGATCTAGTATCGATAACATAAGCAAATATAGTAAGTTTAAAAAACAAATAAAGAGCCAAAAGAAGAAGGAAGGTACAAAAGATAATCAAAAGGAAATTACAAATAATCAAGGACAATCGTAAAACACCTAAGAATAACATCAATAGGTATTTCAGATGTCTTTTCCAACTTTCAATGATGTAGTCCAAAGCAAGAGATATGGTAAATTCTTTGATCAGATGCTCCATCCTTAGATATCTTTCCACTTTGATGATTGCAATGAGAATACTGGCATCCATATTATTGAGATGATTGAGAAGAATCTCTGAAGTAGTTCTTCATTCTGAGATTAGTAAATGTTTCAAATCAGCTAAATTCAATATGAAATGCTTCAAACAAATCAAGCTATTGTACTCATTCGCTTCTTTTTATAGTTTTAATTGAAATATGATTTCATTTGAGAAATTTTTTTGTCACTATTTTTTTATTGATTTTAATAAATTTTTTTAATTATTTTAGAAAATAGTAAAAAAATTATTCCAAAGAAATCCTATATTTATATGAAATATAACAAAATTAAAGTTTATAAAGCAATCAATTAACACTTGCATCACTCTTGAGTCAATTGCAGTCACATGCAAAAGTTAAGAAATGAGGATAAAATTAAAAACTTGATGAGGAAAAAATAATATCAGTACATCTTAGTGAAACTAAAACATATAAAACCTGGACAAAATTGAAGAAAATATAATTTATGATAACATCTTAGTGAAACTAAAAAAAGTTCGATGATTTTATGACTGGCATATCAACTATAGCTTTATAATTTTTAGAAATAAGAGATTATATTACTAATTACATATAAAATTTGAGAAATATTTAAGTCACATAGTATTCTAAACAAAAGAATATAACCTCTTTAGTAATTATTAATAGATTTTTTTTTTAGAATTCTTGTTACCACATTTCTTGATATAATAACTTTTGCATATAAAAATTTGATTATTAATGTTAAGTTTTAAGATATATTTATGGTTTAAACTTACAGTTAAATTTACTTCTATCTTGAAAAAAATCTTTCCTACAATTATTGTCATTTGACGTTCAGTTTAAAATTTAACAGCAGATAATACTAAAAAAATGGGACAGTATTGTGGAAACTTAAGTGGGAAATAAATATCCCATTAAGGTTTGACAAATAAGCTAACATTTTCCTTGATTTACTGAATCCTTCAATATATTAGGAAAATAATCAATCAATAAATAAATAAAATATTTTTTTTTTAGTCTTCGACAGACTCCTACTGAGCGGGCCATTGATGATGCCTTAAAACCGATTCCTAACAAAAACATTCTCAAAATAATCCCAAGACTATTCATGCATGACCAATTTAATATCATAATATCACATTGTCCCAATTTATTCTCTTAACCATACAAAATTGATCAAAATAGTCCATATTATATTTATGATATAAAATTAATCACAATTTAATCCATCGACTTTAAAGAATTGATCCCAATTTAGCCCCAAAAGGAGGCATGGTCGATAGACTAATGCTTCGTTTGAGGCGGCTTTCTTGTTGCTTCTTAAGCAATTTTTTAGTTCAATAATTAAAATTTTTGTAGTAGAAAACTGCTTTAAGAATCAACAAAAAAGCTATCCCAAACAAAACCTAATGCTTCGTTTTGGACGACTTTCTTACTGCTGCTTGAAGAGGTTTTTCTAGTACAAAAATTTTAATTTTTATATTAGAAAGCAATTTTAAGAAGCAAGAAGAAAGCTGTCTCAAACGAAGTCTAAATTGTAACATTATACTCTTGGACTAAAACGACATTATTTAAATAATGAGGTAAATAATGAGGTGACTATTTTGAGCTTTAACCCAATCACTAACTAATTCAACAACTAGTTCCTCTCTATATGCATTTCTAGCGACAAATTTACTGGGGTGAAACGATCCTTCCAAATTATCTAAATGATTAAATAAGGCATGGATGCAACATCAACTACAAATAATATTAAATGAAGGCTTAGAGCACAGCTTTGGTAAACAACTCAGTTGTCTTCGCACATTACAGCCGAAGCCAGAGAAATATGAATCTTACAGTCCAATAAGACTCGTGCAGGAGCACAAAATTTACATCTACGCTCTTCAAGAACTCAAGCCTACAGATAAATCAATTAACTGGAGGAAATACCCAAAACTTCATATAAAGCTTGAGATCACAAATGTCAGTAATAGATTATAGAAAGAATCAGTAAAAGACTACTTCTAGGCTACAGAGCAAAAGCCAAACCAGAAACTTCCAAACTTTAGATTAGCCCAAGGCCTGCCTGCTTTGCAAACATTGGGCATCAACAAGATTCCAGACATTCTGGACAACCCCATTTGAAACAGTTGAAAAGGCGAGTTTTGCAGATTTCTGATGTGATTTTAAGAGCTCAGTACTGCTTAGAAGCTGCTTCAAAGACTTCACAAGTTCTAATTTCCCCTCAACCTGTACAATCAATGGCTTATTTCATAAAAATAATCCTACTAAAGTTGGGTGTTTCTTAGAGGTAAATCTGAAACATGTCTAATTACATGCCGTCAGAAAGAATGTGCATTCAGAAAATAATAGAAATGTTACGGATAGCAGGAAAAAAAATCAAGAGTTCATTTGATTTTTCATAAATAAAAATCATGTTTTAGAATAATGATTACATTTCAAAAGTTTGATAAGGTTTAAGGCTTCGTTTGGCTGCTTCTTAAAACTATTTTTTAGTACAAAAATAAATTTTTTTTACTAAAAAGTTGCTTTAAGAAACAGTAAAAAAACTGTCCCAAACGAAGCCTAAAACTCTGATTTTCAACTTTGTCCAACCGAACAATGAAAAAATCTAATTTCATTGTTTCATAATTTTTTTATCTATATTTACAATAAACTATACATATCCTAAGATGAATAGCCTTCCTCGACTTGAGAACGAAGGAAAGAAAAAAAAAAAAAGCCTTCCTCACCTGAATAACTGACTGGTAATCTACTTGTTTCATCTCTGCTAACATGCGAGAGAAGTGGCCTACATGAGGACCTACAAATTAAACAAAAGCGAGGATAATTTAAAGAGGAATCCAAAGAAAATGCACTTTACATCATAGTAGCTAAGAAGCTACCTGTGAGAACAGCACAACCAGCTGCAGCAGCCTCAGAGAAATTGTGACCAGAAAGACCAGATTGGAAAGAACCTCCAATAACAGCTATTGGAGAGACCCTGTAAAGCATTCCAAGTTCCCCTGTACAGGCACCAAAGTGTCAACCACCATAGAGAGTCCCTGGCAAATTAAACCAGCACCCTTTTGTTGTTATTTGTGCAAAAAAGGAAAAATAAAACAATGTTGGATGAGTCCATTGACTATCTGAGAGCTGCATCATCCATATAATTTATAATATAAAACTTGAAAATACAACAAATTAATTGTTGTTAAATCATGAAATTGTCCAAAAGTATGTAAAAAAAATACTGATATTCAAATTTACTCGACCATGTAGCAGCAATTTACGACTTGGCCATGCCAAGTTGAAAATTTTCTAAATTATATGAATAGATCAATCATATCCAATTTCAACCACGTGACATGTCTCGGCCATCGTTAGTCCCTTGAATTTATCACAAACATGCCTAATTCTGCACTCTCCTCCAATGATCCGAAAAAAATATTACAACCAGTCAACTTCCAGAAGAAAGAGAAAGAGCAGCATTTGTGAGGACTCAAAAATGATGGGGTGAAAATACAAATAAGGTTTTTATCATCAAACAATAATGAAGAACTCCCTAGTGATGTCGATTAGCACAAGCACTTGCCAAAATATAATCTGATAAAAAATCAATTAGGTTTTGCATAGATTTTTTATGTGCCTTAAGTTTAAGCTTTTATTTGAGAATAAGAACTCCTATGTTCTATAAATCCAAATAAACTGACAACAGAATTGGATTATAGGCTCATGCTCAATGGTTTTATCTATAAAAATTAGACTTCTACCTTTGTTTTACCAAGAAAAATCTCATGCTTGAACTTGATTTATGCTATAAAAGAAAACTGATGACATCCCATATGTAAGATTCTATTTTGTGCAAATGCTACCTACATATGTTGAAACTTGCATTCATAATTCATTCTTCAGTCAACAAAAAGTCCTTAATGAAATAAACCAGAATTAAGCTATATATTGTGCTATCAACTTTTATTGTTATGGCAGAGATGGCTACAAATGAATTTTGTTGAAAATGTTTCTGGCTCTGTTTATTAACTATAATTCAAATCAATTATGATGCCTGTAGCAGTCTTTTCCTATTTTTTTGAAGATTCATCTTGAACTAGTTAAGATTTCTAAATCTTAATTAATTTTAGGATGCCAGGTTTTCAATGTTTTAAACTAGGACATTTTGGATTTGATCAGTTCCTGCCTATAACATTCAAAAATCTGGTATGAAAATACTTTAGTAATACCAAATCTTTAAGTAATAAATTGATGTTAAGTAATTAATAATTCTGAAAATGTGCCTCCTTTAGGCGTGTGAGTATGAGAGCAGTTAGTTGGCTGGCTCTTATTTAATCCTTTTTTTTATTCACGTCAGCCAACTAATAGAGAATAGATATTTCTATTGGATAAGAATGGAATCAGTTAGTGTAGTGTGTGGGCCCCTCTTCCTACCATTTCACATAAACCATGGACTAAAAAGGCGTTCGAGGCGGATGCCTAGAGGTGCGCCTCGAATCGAGGAGGAGGTCGGGCGAACTGAGGCTTAAGCCTCGATCGTTCGGGCGAGGCTTACGCCTTTTCCACTGAGGCGTACGCCTCAAGGCATGAGGCATCGAGACGCAACGAGGCAGCGCCTCGAAAGGGAGAAAGTTACCTTCACATTCAGCGATCAAAATGTCGTAACTTATGATCCGATAGGAAGGGAAAGTCGTCAAAGGAGTGAAGTCAAACAACCCAGAAGGAGCCAAACAAGCGACGAGTGCAATCTCTGCACCTCTTGTGAAGCAACGAAGCCGAACAACAAGGACGAAAAGAGAAGATGAAAGGCAAACCCTAGACATGGCTAAGTTATAATTGATTAACTTAGTTAATATAATTTAAAATATTAATAATTAAGCAAATTAATTAAATAATTAATAGTATAATTAGTGCATAAATTAATTATCTAATTTAACTTAATTGACTAATTAATAATATAATTGTTAATTAAATATTATTATAATTAGCCTAATTAATATAAATTACATATTATAAAAAGATTTTTCTTTTCAGATATAAACATCAACGATATTCTTTCAAGTTCATAATTGACTTAATATTTTGCCATTTTTTATAATTATTTATAATTTTACATTAGCTTATTTTTACCATTTTGAGGCTTACGCCTCGATCCGCCTCAAGGCTTATGCCTCACCTCGCTTAGACAAAACGCTTTGATTCTCAATTTCGCCTTTTAAAACATTGACATAAACTAAGCATTTCACTCTTACAAACGGTGAAGGATGATAGTAAAGTACGGTATAGTGTTATGAAAAAAGAAAGGTTACAGAGTGGAGTGCGAGCAATGTAGGAGATTTCGGCACAATGCTCAGAACGGCACAGTGCATAATGAAGTGTGAGGACCCGTGTGAAGCCAGTATTTTATTGAGATTTTCGGCACAGTACTCGGTAGAGGGATTTCACATAGTGTAAGGACGGGTTCAGCACAGTTCAAAGAAAATTAGGGAAGAAAAAGAAGAGGAAATACAGGATCTTTGGGTTATGCAAAAGAGAAGTTTCGAGGTAAATTATTATGTTATGTAGAAGTGGATATTATGCAATTTATTTGAGTAATAAATTGTGGAATTTATAGAATTAGAGATATGAATTGTAGGTGACTTATAAAAGGAAAAGAGTACAAGGTGGAAGAATTGAGGATACAAATCGTCAAGGAGGTAAGTAATTCATTTATATTCAAATTTAAGAACTTTCATTTATAGGCATTAAGGTTAATTTTGAATGCATTAAAATAAAAGGTTATTAAATTTGGTTAATGTATAGAAATGATTTTTAATTCAAGCTTCTATGTATTAACAACCATATACATAATGAAATCAGGTAAGTGTAAAATAAGATTTAGTATGTTAATCTAAATGCTTTCCTATTTGATACTGTTTTGAAAATATGTCAATTTACTTGCATATGGTATGCATTTTAATTGTACACCGGTGATCACAATAATGATTATGAAAGAATGCAACAACTTAAGTATAACTTATGAACACTGAAAAGCTTTGTGAATATCAATTGGAAAGTAAAGTTTGGCTACAAATGATGTATAACTGTAATTACAGGTGGGGTAAAATGGACCCCATATAATATACCTGTATTACATAATGGGTAAAAGGGACCACAGAGAATATGATACCTGCATAGCATGTGAGGCAAATGGAACCCATAAATAGGCAAAAGAGACCTCTATGTAATTCAATAATGAGAATGACAAGTTTACCTGGACTTCATTAAAAAATGTTATGAAAGTATAACCAAATCTTTTATAGATTAAAATTGATATTCGTTGTAAAATTCAAAAGAAGTAAAGATGAAAGTTAATTATGAATTTATGATGATTTCAATGATTGATTATTCTCAATTATTGTACTTTAAATGTTAATTAATTTGCAAAGCTTACTGAGTCTTATAGCTCACAAATATTTTCTTACTGTTGTTGTTACATGAAAACACAATGAGAAGATTGTTGCAGATTAATTTATGCAAGTTATTTCTTCTTTTTATGTTAAAGCTATCTTTGTTAGTGAGTCTTCTGGTAAGGTATGATAACATTTCAGAAATGAATTTTATTTGGTTTTCCTTAGTGGCTCTGTAAGTATGTTATTGAGGTTTTAATTTGGAAGTTGCTTCCGTTGTTATATAAATTGAATTATGGTTGGATGTTATATATGATCTTCTAAAAAGAGAAGTTGTATTAAATGTTTTTGAAAGGAAAAATGTTTATGCTTGTTGACCCTAAACCGTGGCCAGCAAAAACAAAAAAAAAAGAGAATCGAAATCAAATCCACGTACCTGCCATCCCACACGGTCACACGTCGTCGCCGCTCTTCGCACGAGGAGGCCATACATCACATCGTTTCTCCCCACGACTTCGCATGACGAGCTCGCGTTGTTAAATGGCTACGAAAAGGAGACCTTCATCCCTTTTCAGGCACCCGAGCTCTTACGCGATTCCTCTCTCACTCTTCGTCTCCTTCCTGGCTGCTCGACTTGGCTCCCTCAACGACGTCCTTTACTGTCGGTTCGGAAGTGACGACATTTTGATCGAAGGCTCCCATAGCCTCCAATCCTCTCTCCTATTCCACTCCCCTTGCTCTGTTCGGTCCAACCCGACGTCCATACAGAGAGAGAGAGAGAGAGAGAGAGAGAGAGAGAATCTTCTCCCCTTGCCCTAGCCGTGAGAGCCCGTCGCCGAACCCCTCAACCGAGCTCCTCTCTCCACCCGATCTCCCCTATCCGAAGTTGCCTCTCCCTCTGCCTTGCTTCTTCGGCTCCTTCAGTCGAATCAGAAGTTAGCACATTTTGATCGGAAGCCACAACAGGGAGCCTGCTTGTTGTATAGGTAACTTTCTCCCTTTGGCAAGCTTCTTCGGCCAAATCCAGTAAAAAAAATAAAAAAAAAATAGATTTTTTTCTTTTTTATTAATTATAATAATTATTAATTATCTTTAATTATTATTTAATTATAGTTATAATTAATTAATTTTATAATTAATTACTAAATATTAATTAATGATAATTAATTAATGCTTGCGATGCTTCTCTCGCCTCGACATCCATGCCCTCCACAGCCGGTCTGCCAGCCTCGAAGGTACAATCCCAAAACTCAGAATTTGGTCCTTGACGTTCGCGACGAATTAGCAAACCCCCTACGCGCTCACGTAGCGTTGTAGGGCGGGAAACCGGTGCGATGCTTGCGATGACTTAAGGATCCCTCTTTAATGCTAGCAATGAGCCGTCAAACCCCCTATGCGCTCAAGTAGCATTGTAGGGCGGAAAACCGGTGCGACGCTTGCGGAAAAGAGGATAAATTTTTTTTTTTAATGTATATATAAGTACCCCCGAACGCTCACGTTGTGCAAAGGGGGGGAATCTGTGTTTTTCTGACTCGTGCTCCACACCCTTAAACGCTCAAGTAGCGGGCGGGGATTTTAAATAAAACATGCGGCCGCGGTGACATTTTTGACACCTACCTGAAGCG